CCTTACCGGAACCAGACGCAGTCAGCGGTGAAAAAAGACAGCCTTAGCGACGTCCAACTTCGCTTGATCACGCTGTTTTGCGAGAGCGTAAATATAGTTGCTTTTCTTAATTAAGCACGTCAGCAATGACGTATAAAGGAGTGCAGTAAGGCAGTGCCGTAGCTCAGGCGGTTAGTCGCTGACTTCCACCGCAGCGGCACTGGTTCGAGCCCATGTCAGGTCATGTGGTATTTGTGGTGGACAAAGTGGTGCTGGGGCAGGTTTTCTCCGAGTACTTCGACTTCTCCTGCCAATTGTCATTTCACCGACTGCTCCACATTCATCATCATTTATCATCCGGGGCGGGTAAAATAGGCCAAACAGTGGCCGACGTACCTAGTGGGCTCAGTCTCACCCCATCCCAATCAACAAAAAATCTAAAAATATAAGTGCTCAGTTCTTATGCAAAAACCTTTCTCGGGAGGAAAGCCCGGCCATTATGAGGAGGAGGACGTTTGTGGAACGCTGACGCCGACAATGAAGACTGGGTTGGCAGTGACAATTCAGAAATTCAAAGAGGTAAATGGGATAAAAGATAATGTTTCTGTTTTCTGAAATACAATGCAATGCAGTCGATTACAACACAGACGATAAAGCTGTTCATAACCACCGATATGAGAACCTCAAATCGAGTAGAAAAATATCGCTTGCATCTACCTCCGAAACGTCGGTTAACTTACATCGGACTACATGGCGTTATGTCCCAGAAGACACAACCGGCGCTGCGAGAACCTGGGATAAGGTAACGGTGTAGATATCGTAACTAACTCAACTGAGTTGAGCCCTTCTTGAGGAACCACCAGCTGGTCAACTACTTAAGAATTTCCCAACATTTTGTGGAACCCGAATGTTTATTACCGTCTTCATAGGATCCCTCCACTGTGTCCTTTTCCTGAGCCATATCAATCCAATCCATATCATCCCATGATCCCTTACGCACCGGCCGCGCTTTATTCTCCAGGAAAATTATATAATTAATTACTGGTACTAGGCCCTGGGGTTTATTCAGCCTCTAACAGAAATGAGTACCAGGAATTAATTAAATAATTTTCCTGGGGAGTGAAGCGCGGCCGGCGCGTAAGGCTGACAACCTTACCGCCATCTTTGAGCCGACTGTCTACATCAGGCTTGTCAAACTCAACTTGTACATAGGGCCACCTCAGCCCTATAAATAAGAGTCCAGGGCCGCACTTCAAAATAGAAATATACATTAGATTTTGATACAAGGAAATTTAATTCTATTTATTATTTTGGAATTATTTCAATATAATTACCTAAAGTGGAACACTTATATTTTGTCCACAAATCAAACATGTAATTTTACTTTCTATTTCACAACAGAAATAAGCGATTTCCCATTTTCCTTGTAAAACACGGCGCTCACTTTCAATAGTTCTTCTTTTGCTACTTGAATTTTTTGAAAGCGGCATTGCCCTTTAAAAGTTACTGTCCATATACAAGAAAACTCGTAGTTGATAATTTAATGTTTAATTATAACCTTTATACGTTCATCACAATGTAACATCAGCACCTGTCGCTGTGTGAAAATGAACTGAATGACAATGTACAAGAGACTACCGGACTAGTAGGAAGGTGTATCTTGTCTCAATGGTCATAAAAGTGAAAGTTTGCTAGCAGCCCATTAGAAAATGACTGGGGGTTGCAAACTAGTATTGAAGGTAGAAATCCCTTGCACTTGACTGTCAGTTTCCACCCTCCTTTCATTCTTACTACGCCTCCAAAAGGGATTCTTGGAAATACTTGGGGTGGTGAGGCTGGCGGATTTTAGTGCATTAACCTTCTGAAATACAATAGTTTGTCCTTCACGAACTTTACAAACCGTTAGTTGGACAAACCCTTTTGCAATTCTCAGAATCACTTTTCCTGCAGCCTGCTAATTTATGTCTGCGTGAGACTTCTTGTCTTCTGGTCTGTTGGAAAATTGTCTTTACAAAAAATATTTCTACTAAAATTTTAATATTGATTTTATTATCAATTAGCTCTAAAAGTTGAGGGGCCGCACTTTGCGGTTATGGGGGCCGCATGCTTGACACGGCTAGTCTAGACAATGTGGGACCCTCAACGCCTCACAACCCTATGGGCCTTCACGGCCTGGTACGGGGATAGCTTTACTTTACTTTTTACTCATTTATGTTAAGAGGCTGAGTGAACCCAAGGGCCATAGTGCGGCTGGAAGGATTAGGTCACTTGAAAAAAATCCAATGACCTCATCGAGACTTGAACCCGCGCCCTTCCGGCTTGTAGCCATAGCCCCTCAACCAACTACGCTACCGCTACCGCATGCCCCCTCTGAAAGGCTGGTAACCCCTCTTACAGTCATTTATTCCTCTATACAGTTCTCTAATGTTCTTGTTTTTACTGTTCATTGCAAGCTCATCAATTTTGTCTTTTAGCTATTCCCCCTTTTTATTCCTGAAATGCCTGTGGTTTTACGTCTTCTGTTGCTTCAGTTATGCCCATTCATTTCGCTGGGATCTTGTAACCACTGCAATTTGGCTTTTTTCCTTTGGTCTAATCATTTTGAACATCCTTGCTGATCCAGTTAGTAATAACCTAGACTTAGGCTGAAATTTTGGTATTCTCTCTGATAGCTTCCCACGTTATCATCCAAGGTGGTCCAAAGTTGCGAACCTATTTTGTATTTCAGTCCTGTACTGTTCTTTACCCTGTAGGTGTTTTATCGTAAATAAATTAATATGGGCTTCCTTTTCCTCAAAAAGTGGGGTGGCCTAAGTCGCAGGATTCACTGCATTTCGTGACAGCGGCAAAGAGAGTGCCGGTCCCGGTGGCCTGCTCGCGTCTTCTGCCCGGTTTCGAGTATGATTTTCATTTGTGTCCTTGGCAAACATTGCAGCATGCAGCCTTCCATCACCGTTTTAGCATGGAAGAGGCAAACGTAGAGCTGGAAAGCGTTAAAGACGAAAGCATGTAAGTGAATTGCAAAGTGAATTAAGTAGAATTTACGTCACAGATGGGTACATTTCCTGAAGCTATTTCTTAGAGTAAATGTAAAAGGAACTTACTGTGACGGACTTGCTCAAAGAATTAAGCTGTGGAGCCAGAAACCTCCGTTTCAGTTAAATACATTCATGAGAGAACGCAATCAATAAGAGAACTTCCGTTGCTTAGCAGGTAACGTTTCGGTAAGCACGCTCTTTATGACAACGAATCATTTATATGAATTTCCACTGATACGAGCTAGCCTATAAGGAGCCGTGGAGACTCTTCATTGAATCATTCGTCAAATAGACGTCGTTCAAGGTAATAACGAGTTTTTTCATAGAGATTCTTTAAACTTTCAATTATAATTGACTATAATCGTGAAGAAATGCCAATAAATCCAATCATCAGAACCAGAAACACTTATTATTAGTCACGCAAACCCTTATATGTGAAACTATTTTCAATTAACCTGTTGAATCTGCCAAGGAGATTCGAGTCAGCCTACATGAGACCAAACTCGAAACAAATCTACATTGGCCAGTAGTGCAACAATGTATGAGTGTTCCGGATTTCTTACCACATCCGGTTATAAGGTTGTTTTGTAATTCCTCTTGAATTTACATAGTCTCATAATAAATATGTTCCATACTCATTAAAGATATCCGACCAAGCAAGTTTGCTTTAGATTTATTAGTTTTCCTCAGTTCCTCCGTGCAAATTCCGTGACAGTACATCCTTCAACATCCCTGCCTGTTCATTATTCACTAATATCCTTAGAGTTGAAGCTGTATAGTCTGACACAGGGGCAGCGTTGGCAAAAGAACTGTAAGCAGATGATACAATAAAGCAAGAAACCATGTAATAATTTCAATAAATTTTTGGACTTGACTCCAGATAAGTTCTATCATCTGTTTTGGAATCCTCTTGATTTTATATGGCCCACAGGAAATATGTTCCGTGTCCACCAGCAAGCATTATGCTGTACTTCCTTGCGTTTCAATTTCGGTTAGAATCGGACAGCTGTAATGGACATTTTACCTAAATCTACTTTTTATTCGCATTTCTGGGGTAAATCGCTAAACATTTATCAGAGAGTCAACATTTTGAATAAATCTGGTAGAAATTTCACATAGATTATACGCCGAATACAGGTTTTCCGCAAGTCAAAGGTTTTCGAGACAACTAAACAAAATTATTGTTATGTTTGTCGTCTCTTGAGAAAGGCTGGATCGCTTGTTCTGCCCACTAATTCTGCGCTCTTTATAAGAGCAACAAAGTTGATAATCACCAAGAATGGAACACCCCGACTATCCAAGGAAGAGTCCTTGCCACGGAGTTAAACATTTAGTTTTAATAGGGTGACCAGTTTGTTGGTTATTAGTTAGTACATCAGTCTGTCACTCAGTCCTTCACCTGTTACTTAGACGGGCTGCTTTCTGTGTGGTCCGTGCCGAGGGATTATAAAATGGCATAGAAGACGCGACCGAGTAGAGTCGAGTGTAGAACAGTCGAATGAAGGGAAGAGCTGAGTTTCGGGGCGCCAACCCGCCAGGATATGAGGTTGGAATTGAATTTGAGTCGAGTCTCAGAAATTGGCAGCTGCAGAATGACAAGAAAGGAATTAGGCTGTGACAAGAAGACTTCACCTGTCATTTGAAGTTGCAGTGAGACTGTGACAAAATCCGTTGCCAGGATACGGCTAGTGCATGCTGAGAAACCTAGTGTCTGCGTAACGGTGAACTGTGAAGTGTGTAGCATAGCGATAGCGCTGTATTGCATCTAATCCTGGGTAATGTGTTAACAAAACCAATGCTCCAATCCAATACCCGTCTTATAAGTCACTGATGAGTTCCTTGGCCAGTTAGTTAATCACCAGTCAGTTCCTTCATCAATCAATCAATTACTCGTAGTTCGTTAGAAAATGGTTCAGTTAGTAAGTTGGTGAATTAGTCAGTTAACAGCTCATTCCATTTATCCAGCCAGTCTCACTCTTACAGGTGGCCATGACAGCAGCGAGCGGTAGCAATGCCAGGGCCGTCACGGACAGATGTCTCCAAGTGCTACAGTTCGCCAAGGGATCAATCTCAGCGGTACTCCAGGCCGCGCTTGTTGCAATCAGATCCACGTATCATCTTGTGTGGCCGCAACTCGTCAGGTCGTTAGCGGGAGAAATTGTCTTGGTATGTACCGAACTCCAGTATTTAAAGCCCGGGTACTTGGAGCTGACAGTCCTCCGACGCGCAGTAGGGGAAGTATTGGTAGTGGCGGGGAGAGCTCCAGTGTGGCGGGGAATGCAGTACAGGCGTTCTCTAAAGGAAATACCTTCTTACCTCATTGTGTTGCATAGTGTTGGTGGTTTAGTCTCGTTGATGTCCACACATCCGATGTTAAGTTTTAAGTGCCGAATGACAGACTGTTATGCACTATACACTATTATAAACTTCTCACTGTTATATACATGAAGAGTCTATTTACATATTACACGGGTCTATTCTAAAGGGGCAACACCGGCAATGTCCGCATAGATATCATCTCCACATGCCTGTCCTTCCTCGTCACCACCAGATGAATCGGAGCTATCATCAGAACTGTATCACTATCACCGCCAACATGGAAGACGAACTCCCGTCCTGCGTCCAAAAGGCCTTCCCGTGCCATTTATTGTTGCTCAATGTTCCTTGCACGCTGGCACCTACGTTGCCATTCTTCTGCAGTTATGGAAGCCAATTTTTGGTCTGCCAGCTTAATGACGTCATCCATCTTAAATGTGGTATTGTTTTGAGCAACCCAACTTTTCACGGTGGCCCATATTAACTCAGTTCGATTAAGTTCTGGGTGATACGTAGGGAGTCGTAAAATATTGTGATTCTGTTCTGCAAAGATTCCATCTATTTTACAGGCAAGGTATTTCGGTTTGAGGGGAAGGATCATATTATATATGTCTGGATTCCGCAATGATGAAAAATCAGTGTTACTGAAGGTAATAGGTGGAAGGTGATATTTTAGCCAGGATATCATAAAATCTCTTCTTGAATTTGAGTTAGGGGCTCTGTTTAGTTGTACATTATGGTAGGGAGCATTATCAATGACAAGGACAGAATTCGGGGGAAGGTTACGAATAAGCCGCTCCTTTAACCGTTTTTCATAATTGGTGTAGTTCATGACACTGTGGTAGTCTCCTGTCTTTTGGTGGAATTTGAAGCGGACATAGGCACTAGGGATGAAACCTTGCTCCCCCCCTGCATAGATTACAATGAGCCGGTGGCCTTTGGACACAGGGGAAAATAATCCCTGGATGGATCCATCACTCCATGCATATAGGGTGGTGTGCGGAGAATGAATATAGGTTTCATCCATGTAGATGATTGGGCGGCCCTCTTCCCTATATTCTCTAATTTGCCGCAAATACTGAAGACGTTTGGCTCTGATATTATATTGTTCCACAGGTATCTGCCGATTATTTTTTGTTTTCTTCCAGTGGAACCCCAGTTTCAAAATAATTTTCTTTAATGTGGAGATGTATCCCTGAAAATCTAAAGTTTTCTTCAATTTTTCGTGAACTTTCTTCAGGGTAGGTCTCCGTTTCTCGACTATGTAAAAGTTATTAATTGTTCTTTGCAGCACAGACTCGTTAAAGTCGTCGAAAGTGGCTAGTGGAGATTTCCTAGGTCTTTTTTATGGGGTGTCGAAAATGAATTGGAAGGCCCAGATTCGATAGTTTTTTCTTCTGACACTACTTTCCGATACACCTGTTGCCTTTGCTATTTCCACTCCTATGTTCTTCACTGTAATTGTTGGCCCAGCATCTTTCATATACTTTTATACATTACTAATAATTTCTCTTGATTGTGAATGCAACACTTTTCCACTCAATTTACTTCGTGTAAGTGGCATGTTAAAGGAGATAGAAAAATGTAACCATATAAATAAACAAAAAAGAAAATCAACGAATAAAAATAAACAATAAAATAAAATATTAATACAGTAAATAGAGAATTGTACCTGTTACTCTCTATGAACAGCAAGATCGCGTCAGTGCTAACAAAGCAGTACACATGTTTCCTAATGCGTCCCAACATCAGGGGCCTTGGTATTCGTTTATAACAGATATAAATCTGTTGCTAGCAACAGAAGCACACATATATCATAACAGGCAGCCACTAATTAGTTGTCCTTGCATTCTGATAAATACAGAGCGTTCAGTTAAGGAGGAAACTTCGCCACACCGCAGACCCGGCCGACAGCCCTCACAGATTGCTACTGTAAGTGCTGATAAACGCGCGCCGGTACAGTTACAGCAGTATTCTGTGAGGAATATTGGGCCCGGTCAGCGGTGTGGCGAAGTTTCTTCCTTGATTGAACACTCTGTATTTCCGTGTAAGAAGACCATGTAAGACCAACGGTGTTTAATTTCGTCGAAATCCGTTAAATAGTTTCGCAGACGTGTACAACTTGCCCGTCGTTAGTGAATTTCACGCATGAGGCCCAGTTAAAGAGTATACACACATGTTGTGAGTAGAGACAGCTGCAGCTCTGCCAGCAGAGACAAGAGGTGCTACACTTCAACTGCTCCACATCTCTTCTGCTGGATGTGTCTATCAGCAAATAACGCCGGATAATGTAGAATGGGAGATTAATACAGATGCTTATGAAGATTTCTACGTACTGTTGTGTTCTCATTTCTTGTTTTTAAGAGTTGAAGAATTCTGTCTTAGGCGACATAATGTCACGCGGTTCATCTATGCGACGTTTCGGAGGTAGCTGCAGACGATATGTTCCTCTTCGTACCCACCCATGTATTCATCATGCTGCTGCCACTTGGAGCATAGGGCATTCGCGAAAGGCTCTGTTCCGCTTCGGTGTCTTAATCTTATGCAGTCGGTGGGATCACACGGCCGCTACCGACACAGGACAACACACCAGAGTAGAAACGCAGATAAACTTCCATGCCTTGAGTGGGATTCGAACCCACGATCCCAGTGTCCGAGAGAGCGAACACATTTCATGCCTTAGACCGCGCCTGACCAAGGGTGTGAAACTTGGTCTCTGACATTAAGGGAGGAACATAGACTGAGGGTGTTTGAGAACAGGGTGTTGAGGAGAATATATGGACCAAAGAGAGATGAAGTGACAGGAGGTTCGAGAAAACTGAGTAATGAGGAGCTTCATAACTTGTACTCTTCTCCAACTATGATTAGAATGATCAAGTCAAGGAGGATGAGGTGGGCAGGTCATGTAGCAAGAATGGGGGAGACGAGGAATGCGTATAGGATATTGGTGGGAAAGCCAGAAGGGAAGACCAAGGCGTAGGTGGGTGGACAATATTAGAATGGATCTTAGAGAGATAGGATGGGATGGTATGGATTGGACAGATCTGGCTCAGGATAGGGACCAGTGGAGGGCTCTTGTGAACACGGTGATGAAACTTCGAGTTTCATAAAATGCTGGGAAATTCTTGAGTAGCTGCAGAATTGGCGGCTTCTCAAGAAGGGCTCAGCTTCATGAGTAAGTACGTAAGACCGCGCGGCCACCGTGATCGCCTTTCACAAGACTATAGGGCGTTATATCCATCTCAACCTATCTGACTTACCAAGCTACGAACTTCCGAGAAAGATTACATGTTACTAAGCTCCTCATTATAAAGTTACCCTTGTAACAGGCCGTGGAGGCCCGTAGTGTTGAGACGTCGAGGCTCCCACACTTTCTAGACAATCGGCTCACAGATGGCGGTAAGGTTGTCAGCCTTACGCGTCGGCCGTCCTTTAACCCCAAGAAGATTTCTGGTACTCATTTCTGTTAGAGGCTGAGTCGACCCCATGGCCATAGTGGGGCTGGAATGATTAGGTAAATTGAATAATCCAATAACCTCATCGAGACTTGAACCCGCGACCTTCCGGCTTGTAGCATAGTGCCCAAGCCCCTCATTATGCAGATCCTTTAGTGCTCCTTTCAGCAAATTCCTCCTGAATCCAAGTTTTCTTCTTAACACTTTGTACGGTCCGTTGTAGTTTATATAATTACAGTAGTAAACCGGTTCAACTGTTCATACGTGAACACCTTGTTCACCTTGCTTAGCTCGACGTTTCAGATCATGCTGCTTATAGCCACTGTTCCTTCGTAATTTGAAATCATGAAGGCCGTAAGTTGTATGTGAATAAAAGTTCTATTTTTCAAGTTACTGAAAATAACTCACGGTTCGAAAACAAAACAGCGTTTTGTTCTGGCAGTAATTCGATTCAATTTAATTCATGTTTATTTACGTGCAATAACTTAACAGCACAGTGGCCTATTACAAAGTCAGCACGAGTATAAAAGATACAGAAAAATAATTAAAACAAAATACAGATATGACAGAAATAAATCTGTAAGCATAAATCTAAAGAAGACTTAAATATATACATACATTTATGAATTATTACGAGTGTTGCTAATACTGTTAGTAACTAAATACTGCGATAAGACAACTGGGAGTGATAGCATAAAATTAATAAGAAGTCAATAAATTAAAACCAATTACATAAGAAAATTAAAGTTAGCCGAGGTATACACATTTGTAGTGAATGAAAACACTAATCCAATAACACTCTAAAAGGTTTGGTACATGCTTGTAAAATATGATTCAGAGAAACCGCTCCGTGTGCAAATATGTCGAGATCTTTACCCACCACGTTGGTAGCAAGGGCGCACCGAGAAGAGGGACAGTGTCTTTTTGAGGGACGAACGCAAAAGTAGAGAAGTCTTGAACATGACAAGTTGGAACACGAAGACTAGCATTATCCAGAAGGGAGGAGCAGGATTTAAGGCCACGATAAACCTGAATGAAGAAGAGTGCATCAAGAATAATAATAATAATAATAACAATAATCGTTGTGGAACCTCTCGACCCTATATATATACTCAGTTTCTAACAGCAAACAAATACATAGCCCCCAATTTCAGTTCTGCTCTCTGTCTGTTGTAGCCTTAAAACGGAATAACAATAGTTCTGTAACTGACTGTTCCATAGAGAACTATTCAATGTAAATGTGGAGCATATGCTTATTTTCTTGCTCAGTCTAGCTTGTCGTACTCGTAAATAAAGAATGTCATGAAACTTTGTATAATTACATTGCACAAAAATATATATTTTGTGACGCCGTGCAGTTTGGTAGAAATTTCAGAGTAACGTACTTGTTTGGAAAGCTAGCGCGTTCACTGAACTGTCCTTGAACTCTGGCGGAGTATACGCCTCACCTCTCCTTCAGAGCCACGGCGGGAAGAACCTCCAATGCGAAAGTTTTGGGCTAGATCTCTGGTTACTTAGTGAGGCTGTAACAAACGGCGAGGTTTCCTGGCGTTGGAAATAGCGGCTCCGGTCTAGAAAACCGAGATTAACGGCCGCGGGGATCCGTGAAACACTCTATCCGCAAAAGTTGGCACTAACTTCGCCGACAAGCGGCGGCCACTCGGTCGGTATAGTTCGCTTGCGGATTACAGGCCACGGAGTTTGTTTTTTGTGTATATATATATATATACTGTGAGGGTGCTATTTGGATGTCACTGGCTCAGGACTCTGTTCACTGATGGACGTTTGTATAAGGGGAGTTCATGCTTCACATTCTGCTAGCTAGTGCTGTGGGATTTAAAATTAATTCGTTTTGAGTGGTCAACTCTGTAACCGTTCATCATAATTTGGTGGAACCTTTTGTATTAATTAAATTTATATTAAGTTAAGATCACGTGAAATACAAACAGAGATAGTCAACTTTTTACACGCAGAAGTGACATTGTTCAAGTTTTGCTATGTGGACAGGAAGTAACATCTGGTACTTTCCTGGAATTCTGGCAGTTTCAGCAGAGTCGGAAAGTCTTTGGGAATTTGAGAGCTGACAGCTTAGAACAGCTATAAGTTAGAAGTGGGAGGGCCGGAGCCTCATCCCCTGATCATAATACATCAAGTCGCTGTCAACCTTAGCGTCAGGTCAGCAACTGCCAGAATCACAGAGCAAAGCAACATGATTGGAAATTCACAAATTTAGGGAACCTCCAAATTTTTAAACTAAACCAATGGCAGATGTTGGAGAAGTGGATTTCTCTTGGAGTTTGGGGTTCGTGGACCTCAGGGTTCGGAGAGAGATGAGTCCACCTCAGAGAGTCTTCATTCAACTTTCGGCCAAGTCAGACACAAAAACACAACTACGTCACTTCGCTAAAAGTATTACAAGTTAAAATAACAGTTAAGTGTAACTATTAGAGTTTCCGTTGTGTTCAGTGAGCTGAAGTTAGTTAAATACACGTAATTACTAAGTGCAAAAGTCTGAAGTGGTGTATGTGATTGTAGCGTGAGACCTCGGGATTAGAACTCATCTCTACCCATTACAGAGCAGAACCCACCTACTCCCGTCTTTCCCTATTTGCGAGACACCTAATGGTAGTACAGGAAACGAACTCCCGCCTACCAGCACCAACAGCCACAATTCTCCTCCCTTCCCGCCTAACTCTCGCCATCCACGAGGAAGGAGAG